TTTTTTTTTTCTGGAGCCGTGATTTCCTCCCTGGGGTGGAAGGGGGTGAAGCCCAGCAAGGCTGTGGGTCTTTCCCTTTTTCTTTCCTCTTCCCTTTCCTTTTTCCTTCCCCTTGCCTATTTTTTTAAATGTTTTTACCGTTTAAAATGTTAATGAGGGGAATGAGCTTGCATCCAATGACGTGCATGTGTGAGGAGAGCGGGTTAGCGGCTGGGGGTGGTTAGGAGAGGTGCTGGGTGAAAACGCTATCACTTTTCAAAACACATTGCTTGGATTTTTTATTTTTTTTTCCTGGGCATTTGACTGAACAGTTTCTCAGCCTGCAAAAGTTTTTTTTCCAGAACTGTGCAGGCTCCCTCCCATCCCATTAGACCCTGATGGATTGGAGGTGCCCAGGGTTGATGCGCAGAGCAACCCTGAGCCCCTCAGCCCCTTGAGGGGGAGCCCAGCGAGGTGCCCGCCTGGGCACCTGGCCATCCTACCCCGCAGGGGGGCTGTGCTACACCATCCCCAAGGGCACAGCATCTCACAAGATGCAGCTGTAAAGTTTTCTGTCTACACTTGCCCAGCACAGAGCATTTCTTTGGTCCAAGGCAAGTCCCGATAAACAGCAAACTCCCACCCAAAGATCTCCAAAGTATCCCCTGCCCTTGATGAGACCTACAGATCTTCAGATCAACTCTGCTACCAACTCTGATCTACTTCAGACCAACTCTTACACCAGGGTTAGTCCACAATATCAGCTGGAAATGACACATTCTGTATTAAAGGACCCTTTACCTAGATGTTTTCTGTAATGTGCCCACATTAACTTCCCCAAGCTTTTCCCCAAATTATTTCAAGCAGCCCTCATCTGCTCATCTCCTGATTTCTCTAGTCTCCATGAGAAACCATTTAAATTAGACTCTTGGTGGACTTTTATTATTTCCATTCAAGTGTATAATGAAAATGCAGCTTTTTTGTCTTATAAATAGCACTTGTAAGAGAAACAGGAGAATTACAGGCATCTGTCACAGAGACAGAAGAGAAACCTAAGTTGCCAGGAAAGAGTTAAAAAGCATTAAATGGAGCCAACTCCCCAGTTTGACTCAGCACACTGGGTTAGGAAGCTGCACATGGTCAGAATATCTGATAAACTGAAAACTTCCAATTTCAGCCAAAGTACAGTATGAATTCAAATGAAAATTCTTTGTTTAATTTTCAGCAATTTCTTAAACCAGTGTCAGGTTCATATTTATAGAAAAGCTGATGCCTTTCACAAAACTGGGGGGGGGCTGTTGCTGTACTTCTGCTCTTGCATCTGGAGGAAAAACTTTAAATTCAAACCTAGTCTGTCTGCTTCAAAGCAGGAACTGGACCCTGTGTGCCCTTCAACCTGTGAGAGTACACTCATGTCATAGATATTTGGTGGGGTGCAGCTCTGTGATTACCCCTCAGTGAAGTACCTCCACCCCTATAAACACTTAACTGCATATTAAACCAGGCAGCAAGAGACTGGTTGTAAGGCTGCACAGAAAGGGCAGGCACTGAGGTCCTGGTCCCACTGGGGGATAGGCAGAGACCTAATGATGAAAGAAACCTGACTTCTAATGCAACCTCCTCCCTGGTTTTGTGTCAAAGTCCCTATCAAGTGTCCAAAGGATTTTAACGTTTCCTTAAGGTGTTCTGTGGTTTTTTAAATTAGAATTAATTAATAAAAATAATAATAAATTAAATACACACAAATCAATTAATTAAAATTAATTTTAAAATAAAAAAGAAAAATTACTTATGTGGAAACTTTTGCCACCCTTGACCCATATTTATGGGGCACATCTAGTTGATTGAAACTCCACTACTACAGCTGTCCCAGTCCTATATGTCCATAAGCCAAGCCTGAGCAGCCAGCGGTCTTGCTCACATAGACGTCTTGCAGAAGGTGTGGGCTGCATCCGTGCTGGCCATATCCATCACCTCGCTGAAGCACACCTTGCTCTGTCCCATCAGACATGGCTGCGCACATGCCCACAGCGTGCAGCTCGGCCCGGGCACCTGCAAGGCGAGGAGCGGGGTCTCAGCGCTAGCCCCTTTGGGATGCATCTGCTTGGGGGCACCCACTGTTCCCTTTTAGCGGGTGTAACTGGGCAGAAGAAAGCCATTAGATCTCAGAGCATCGTGTTTCTCCACCCTCTCCAAATTTCCCAAATCTCTCCACTTCCAGCTGAAAATCTGCAAAAGTTTTCAGCACGCTGGCTTTGCCATCTGTTACCGTATAGTTACTAACTCCAGAGCAGCACCAAGCCCTAAAGGCAGCATGGAGGCGGGTACCTTGACAAGCAGACTGACTTTTCCTTCAGGTGACACAAAAAGGAAACAAGGCTGCTTTGTCAATGAGATAGGAGAAAGACCAACAGCAGTTCCCCCCAAAATCCAGCCAAACCTGCCGGGAATCTAGGACTGTATTTTACTTGTTAAGGATTGTAGAAAGAGTTTTTATTTTATTCTAATAATGATTTTAATGATCTTTCCTTTGCTCTGCAATTGGTCTTTAGTTCTCATTAGGAGAAAATTTCCAGTTTAAGAGTAAAAATTTTAAATTCCCAAGCAGTCCAATGCTCATACTGAAAATTGGGTTGCGATATGTGATTTGCTTGGATATATAGGTGTCATGGTTTAACCCCAGCCAGCAACTAAGTACCACACAGCCACTCACTGACTTCACCCCCCACCCAGTGGGATGGGGGAGAAAATTGGGAAAAGAAGTAAAACTCATGGGTTGAGATAAGAACGGTTTAATAGAACAGAAAAGAAGAAACTAATAATGATAATGATAACACTAATAAAATTACAACAGTAATAATAAAAGGATTGGAATATACAAATGATGCGCGGTGCAATTGCTCACCGCCCACTGACTGACGCCCAGTTGGTCCCTGAGCAGCGATCCCCCTACTCCATTCCCCCCAGTTCCTATACTAAATGGGACATCACATGGTATGGAATACCCCTTTGGCCAGTTTGGGCCAGCTTCCCTGGCTGTGTCCTGTGCCAACTTCTTGTGCCCCTCCAGCCTTCTTGCTGGCTGGGCATCAGAAGTTGAAAAATCCTTGACTTTAGACTAAACATTACTTAGCAACAACTGAAAACATCAGCGTTATCAACATTCTTCTCATACCTAGTTGAAAAACATAGCACTGTACCAGCTACTAGGAAGACAATCAACTCTATCCCAGCTGAAACCAGGACAATAGGGATGGGAGATGTCATCTTACTAAGTTTATTTCATACTTTATGTGCTGTAAACTTGGTCCAATGCAAAGTTCAGCTTAGAGATCATCAGTGAAGTCCTGGATGTGGGTCACAATTCTGTTAGGTCCCCACCAACCCTACCCTACAGAATACGGTCATGAAGATGCTCCAACAGAGCTTGGCACCTGGATCCTTGGGTTTCTCATTTGGTTTCACCTCTAGGAGCAAAGCAGTTATGGAGAAGCAGTGCTGGAGAAGCTGTTTAAACACTACTAGCGGTTTATCAAACCGGAGAACATTTCCATTGCTGTCAGCTCTCAAAATTATATGTGCTCATTTTGAAACTCTTCCCTTTACTGATATTCATGGCAGCAATAGAAACTATATGCGGAAGATTTGCTTTCTTCCCTTGCCTAAACTTCGTACAGCGTTGCCCAGACAACTCCCCATTGCGTTTCAGGCTGAAGTAGCGATGGGGACTACATCGGGAAACATAGCAGGGTGACAAGGGACGGCAATTGCACGTATCTGAAGTGTCACATGGTGACCCATGCCATGGCAAAACCACCTCGTCTGGAGAGCAAGGAGCAAAGAAAGTGGAGGAGACCCCTTCTGTTGCGTCCACTCCCTATCCCTGATCCCTTCTCCAAAGTGTGGACTAATGTGGTGGTACCTGCGGCGGGACTCCAGCAGGGACAGGCGGGCATGCCTGCATGTCAGCGGCAGTAAGACAGGGCCAGTGCACCTGCATACAGCCCCGGGTGGGTTGGTGCTGTGTCCCCTTGCTGATGGCAGGGCTGGGCCTGGAAGGGTCTGCCACCTCTCCTCATGGGATGCAGCCCCCAGGATCATCTTCTCAGACTTTGCATGAGAGGTTACAGACTCTCACCTATGTATTTAAATAGCTCCTCCAGCAGGTGCCATTTACAGCGGGGGGAAAAGGCAGACCTGCACACCGTGAGGGTAAGCTGGGGTCACATACAGTTTTCCTGCAGAAGTATCGCAGGGAAGGATCTACAGCAGGCACCCTCGTGCTGCCCTTGCCTTCCCACCTTATAAACCTCTATCCTTTCCCTCTCCCCTTTCTTCTGTATCTGGTTTCTACTTGCTATCAGAGCAATCCTCAGATTTGCTCCCACACATCTGATCTCGCTGCCTCTCACACCCACTCTGATCCCTTCATGCCACCCGGCTCCTCTCCTGACTTATCCCTTTGCTTCCTCCGCCCACACAAACCCTGAGTCTTTCTCACCATCTCAGATGCTCAGCACATCCTCCCAGCTATCATCCTTGCTCTGCTGCTTTAAACCACTTCTCTCAGTCCTGAATCCAGTATCATGGTAGCCATACGGTATCAGGTTTTGTGCCTGAACATTATCCTTATAAGCCATGCACAAACTAGAAAATAAAGCTGGTTCTTATTATGGTCCTGGTTTTCTGTGCACACAGCACAGGAGGAGTTAAAGAAAGCAATACTCTTGGGGGAAGGATGGAGACACACTAAGGGCTTTTCAGTTTTATGCAGCCTTGTGAAAATATGGTGTAGAGCTGAAACTATAAATGCCCACTGAATACAGCATTGTGTGCTACTAACCCATACAAAAAAAAAAAAAAAGTGATTCTGTTCTCTCTCTCTTTTTGTTTAGATATTAAGAAGAGCAGACAAGAATGGTAAGACTGGTCACATGTCTTCCCCCCTCCCTTTGGAAAAAAACCCCATCCATAGTTGATTCAGCAGTTGAAGTCATGCTTTAAACATCCTAACAGGAAAACCAGCCATCCCTCATGTCATTTTATGTTTTCTACAGGTTCAATGCAATGTATTTTTTTATGCACTGATCCTCCCTACAGGTTCTTTAAAGGGCAGATCTTGTGCTTTCACAACGTGGCATGTTTGTCTGATTTGCACTTTGGGTACACGTGGGTGTTTTCTTAGTGACACTGTGTTCACAAGCAGGTTTGAAATACTTGTTAGTAGCTCCATCTTATTACTTTTTAAGAACACCATAGGCTAAATCCAGCAGACTTGTTTCCTACATTTTGCAGTTATGTATTGGTTTGTCATATCAGTAGGCAGAATAAAGCCTTGAATTCAACTCACATATTTATAACACAAAAGTAATGAGGTTTTTTTATTATGTTCTTGATTTAAAGTTTTGCCCTCATGCTACTGACTGATTTTCCTTCCCTTGTTTAAATTCAGTAACTTGGAGCATAGTACTGTAAGGCTTCACAAATGCTCCTATTTTGGCTGCAGCAGGGAAAGGTCCTTGCTGTAAGGGCCACAAGTGTAACCACTGGAATTTTTTGCTGGTATATATAGTCATGGTCTTGAACCCAACTTTAACTCCTTTTTCCATCTCAGAATTGCTGCACAATTTTGGACGAGTTACATTGTCAGGTTTGTGCCACATACCCCAGAAGAGAACTGAAGTCTCTGCTACTTCCCTGCATTACACAGAGTGTGAGATTTGGCATGCTCGAGGCTATGAAGAGCTTCTGTAGCTCTGCAGTTACCATAATAGTATTTATACTTAACTCAGATAACCAGAGTTAGATCTTGCAGGACGAGAAGGAAATACAAGCTCACAATTATTTAGCACAGTAATACCAAAGTACGGGAAGAAGAGAGACACAACTTCATGCAGAAGTACAAGCCAAACTTTGGTCTTTTCCTGAAAGCATTGAAGAGTGTCAAACCCACAGCTCCGACAGGTTTAACCCTGACAAGTAATTCCCACTGAATCCTCAGAAAACAGGTATTGTGCAGGTTTGATAAAGTGTACTCTCTGGTATTTAAAGGCATCATGGGTACTATTGGGAAAATCAGAGAGAATCACTTTCAAGGAAGAGCTGTTGGACAGTAAGGGGCTACCATACAGTTTGATGGTATAGCTGAGTCTGTCAAATAACTGTTTATCGTTGCTGAGAGGGCAATCCCACCCTAACAGCCCACCTCCGGCTGCATATTCTTGCCCCAGCTCATGTGCAGCAACCGGCACTTCCCATAAAACCAAGGCAGGCTCCTTTAGAGAGCTCAGGGACCACAAAACCCATCACTGTGAGGGGTTTTTGTTAGTGGGTTTTTTAATCTCCCTCAGTCAGCTTGCCAGTGGCTTGGAAGGGCAGTGATGGTGCAGGCTGGATCCCAAGGTGAGGGCTAGGATGAGGAGGAGAAGGACCTTCCCCTTCAGTGGCACTTTTCCAGCTCAGCTGTGTGCCAACCACAGCCAAGCTCTACTGGCATCCCCCACAGACCTCCTTGCCATGTTTGGAATAGATGTTTATGTGTCTGCTGTGAAGACTGATGAAAGTCAGAGCATGTGGTGCAGAGCAGCGGTTGTCATCCCCCCGGCGGGTCAAAAAGAGCCCCTGCAGCTTCATGTGCCTGCCCTGGACTTTGGGCTCATGCTCTGTCCCAGTCGTGGTGGATCCACGGCACTTCGGTGATCAGGAAGACTTCTAGTCCTCTGTGGGGTTACCCCACAGTTTATTATTGATACTTTGCTATTAAAATTGGGGAAACAGTTCACATGATCAGTGACAAACCTGCTTGTTCCAGAACAATGTGAAGCCATGTCGGCCCTAGAGACTTTGGTTGCTGAAGTTCATACCTATATATGGATCCTTTACCACATCTTATTGGGAGAAAAGTGGCTAAGGTCAGCCACGGTAGTTCTATTAATTTAAGTCCATGAGCTTGAAATGGTTTCAGCTCTTACGTGCTTAATTGTGTTTGCTCAACCATCAGTTGCCCGTGGGACTTCCACTTTGCTAATCTAGCACTGCACAAGCTCATGCCACATTTATAAGGAGGAGATTTGTTTTAGGGCTGGGATGTTAAGTACCTTCTCAGAAAGTGAACACTCATCTAAAATGCTTACACTGTTGTCTACACAGATTATTAGCTTTTGTTAATGACTCAGATAGTTACACTTTCAGTGTCACCTTTCTGTGCTGCGGAAAACCGAGGACTGGCTTACAGTAACAAATGCTACATTACTGTCCATGACACGCTCCTGTTAACCCATACACTTTTAATAGGACTCTCTCAGAGCTGCCATATTCATTCTCTGTGAGATTAAAATATCCCCCCAAAATTTATCATCAAAAACATTACTAGGTACTTGCTTGACAGCAAAAAAATGGATCAAGCTGGTAAATAGCAGTGTTATAGGAGATAGCATTCTTGCTATGAATTTAGGGACTGTGGGACTTCAGGTTAGCCTTCCACAAGGAAAGACGGCTATTCTTGCAAGACAATATAAAATAAGAGATCAAAAGAGCCAAGAAATCCTGCTGAATTGCTGTTACTCAAAAATATTCCAAGGATTCATGACAGCTGGGTTTAACTGAAAAACTCCTCTACCAAACGGTCATTCCCCTTTTTGAAAGAAGCTGTACAAATGTTGTTTCTTTTGGGGTGGTGGCTTCTTTCTTTGCTAGCCCAGGTACATATATCATTCTGTTACCCTCCTGTTTCTAGAAATATCAGCTATGCACAGCTTTCACAAGAGGATCAGCTTCATAAACTCTTATCTATAGCTCTTATTTCATGGCTGAGCAGCTCCGCTCCATATGGAGCAGATCCACACTCCTCCCATAACTGAAAAGGTCGTGTGATTTTCTTAGAGGGAGAACAAGGCATAGGGAAGGAATATCTCATTTCTAAGAAATATATGGTTCATAATATTGACAAAAGCAACAGAAAACCCTGAGGGAAGAAAAGCAATTTCATAAAGGTGAGATGTTGCACATTGACCTTTTTGGAAAGGAGAAGTTTCGGGTCTGCATGTCAAAATGAAGTTTTGGTCAGGTTTGCTTTACAAAACTCCATACATTCAAAGGAAAGCTAATTTGGAAAAATTCTAGCTGAAAGGAAAGTTCTTCATTTATTTCATTCCTTTTGCTATTTAAACCAGAATCAAACTCATTAGATTCCTCTCAAAAAATAGAATCTTGTCCCTAGACAGCAGAGACAAGTAATACGGAAAACTGGGACTGCCAAATGCAGTCTTTCCTAATCAACATCATTTTTTATCTCCTTCATCTCACAGGCAGCACTGGTTGTTCCACGCACATGTGACTGCAGCACCTATATGTGCTTATCCTCCTGCTTGTCTGCATGAGGTGTTTCTCTTACCTTCTGATATGCTGAGGGACATGGGGCACCCCATTAGACTTGCAGTGATTTGCAATTGAGTGAAACAATATCAGTTGTTGGTAAAGGTCACCCTAAGGCCTCTCCTGACCATGCAGCTTTGACATGTGTCCTATTAGTATAGCCTCATGCTATAATTCCCTCCTGTTAGCACAGGAACAGATCCAATCACAAACAGTCTGACTGTCAAAATGGAGAAGAAAAAAAAGCAATAATCTGCTGAGAATGCAACTCTTGATCTTGCAAGAGTAGCAGTCTTCTTTCAGCTGTGGCAAGGTGCTTCAACACCGATGGTTCAACACTGACCAGAATTGGGGAGTACCACCAAATAACTGGAGAGCACTGCCCTGCCTTTGCCTGCATCATGGTGGGGGTCATTTCTCTTCCCATCTTCCTGTAGGAGAAGAGGGCTGCTCTTCCCTTTCTACTTTAGCATCTCCAGCTTTTTCTTGAGGGGAGCCTGGCTGCTTCAGGTCTATTCCCTTACGAAGGTGGAAATGAATGACTCTGAGCCCAGCAGCACGCCTTCCTGGCTGTGGGCTGCTGAGCACACATCCCAGCACCATAACCACCCTTAAAGGCGTGAGCTTCCTCTCCTGCCTTGACATGGCATGCCTTAGCATTTAAAACACCCCTTAGGGAACATGGCATGCCTTGGCATTTAAAACTCCCTTCAGCACTTTTCAGTGTGGAAATGGCCATCCAGTTAAACCTGGAGGGAGGAGAGAGCGACCCCCAGCCATGTCCTCCAGAAGGAGAACCTTTGAGCCGTCTCAAGTTTAGAACTGGTATTTGATTATGGCCTTGTTCCAGAATTACAGCTTCTGCCCCCAAACCCTTGGATCAGCTCCAAGCAGGAGTTAACTAAAAAGGGCAGCTCTAATATGACAGGTTTAGAAAAGAAAGTCTATGTATAGATGCTGTCATTGATTTGCAAATACAAGTCAGTTGTTATGAAAAAGCACTGAGTATAAGCTATATCTCATTCTTAAAGCTCCTAAGAGGAAGATATTTGAAAACACTGTAGGTAATATCTGCTATAGTAGCAGAGACTTTCCAAAGAAAAAAAAGCCTTAACTGTAAGGAGCACAGTAAACAGTATGCTGCTGCAGGCAGTCAAGAATGACTGCAACCAAATAAGGGGAAATTAAAAAATTGACTAAACAAAGCAAGACTAAACCTCCAGAGGTGGCCAAACCTGAATATCAAACACCCAGAACAGACCAGCAACAAAATACTATTAATGCCAGAATGAGGACATTTGTTTGGTTTCATTTTTTTCTCTGACATTTCAAACAAGCACTCACTGAAAGCTCCTGCCCCCCCCCCCCCCCCGCAAAAAAAAGGTGGGTTTTATAATTTCATTGAACTAGAATCTGTAAAATGACAAATACAGTCAGATGAGACTAATCTTCTGTCATATGTCTTCGTTCAGCACCCCCTGATGTCCATGATACAGAGCAGGGACATCACACTTTTAAATGTAGAATGCTAAAACTGTATAGCATGA